AGCAACTTGTCAGTTACCTATGTGGCTCATATTTCTGTTGAACAGAGCTGTTATAGACGGGTATAGGAACATACCTCCATTTATTCAGTTTTTTACTACCACATTCACTTGATGGCATTCGATTGGATGATGGCCGTGAAACCCCTTTCTCAACAGTAAAGGTACCGAGGCAGCCCAGGGTCATGGGACAAGTGCGCCTTCAGAGCCAGAAAAATTCAGGTGCAAATCTCAACTCCATCATCCCCCTATTATCTTTGAGAGCTTGGGCAAATTACATGCCTCAGTTTTCTCATCTGAAAAATGCAACCAATGGATGATCTGATACTTAGCGTTGCTTCGAATGTTACAGAAAGTCCACGTGTGGGGGCTAGCGCGGGCCCATCGTAAACCTCAGTAAAAGGTAGTGGTGGTGTTATCATCGGTATTTTTAGTATGAAAGTGTAGGAGTCAACTTGGTCAGTTTCTCCGGCCTCAGACCACTCACTACCCTACCCACTGCCTTCAGCATCCCCTCCCAGCACCCCTGCAAGGCCGTTGGGCACGGCGTGGGCACTCACCTGCTGGCAGCTGCTGGCCCAGGAGGCCCGGAGGGCGCCCCAGCCTCCCGAGCGCGTGGCCTTGCTCTCCAGGTGCATCCGCAGCTGCGTTTCCAGCTCCTGACTGACTTGCTCGAGGGCGTGCACTTTGGCCATGTATTCCACCAGGCAGCCCCCAAGGTCCTCAACAGTGGCGTGGTCCCTCTCCAAACCTGGAGTGGGCATGGTGGCCAGGCCCGAGCTCCGCAGGCCCTGCAGGAAGACGCTGCTGATGCCCAGGGCCCGGCGGGTCACCCGGGCACCCAGGCCACCTATGTTGCCACTGGGCACCGTCCCTACATAGACCCCAGGTGCTCGGATGAGGCCACTCATGGCATTGGTCCTGGAGGCTGGGGGGCTGTCCAGGGAGGATGACGACCGTGGCCCCCTGAGGGACGGCCTGCGCCTCTGGAGGGGCATGCTGGAGCTGGTGCTGATGGGCACGTCCACTGCCACTCGCCGCTCGCTCATCACCCCTCTGCCTCTGCGGTGCCCAGCGGGCTTACAGATTCCTGTGGCTTTTGGTTTCCAGCCCCAGCATCCCTGTGGCCTGGTCACGGGCCTCTCTGGAAGCTCCCCTATCCCTGGGGCTGCTTTGTCTGCTGTCTTCCATGAGTTTCCATCATTCACTGAGCTGAAAGAGAAACAGGCCCTGCCCAGGGCTGTGTGCAGAGAGGCACTCATGCATTCTTTGAAGCAGGGTCATGTGCCCAACCTCCCGGATTTTTCTGTTGGTGGTGGGGGAGGCTGTATCAGAGCAGGTTGTGGAAGTGGATCATCGGGGCTTATGTATTTCACTGCCTAAAAGTGGGCAAGGTAGGCATCAAGCAGCCCCATTTCACAGATGAGTAAACTGAGGCTTGGGGACCTGAGTTCACAAGTGTGGTGATCACTTGCCCCAGACCTCAGATTACAAACTGGGACTCAGTCTCGGTGTTTCAAGGGCAATATCAGTGCTTTCTACATCCCTACGTGTGCTGGTGTGTCTGAATGCGTGGAGGTGAGCAGATGTCCAGACAGGCAATAGAGGATGAAATGGATGTGAACCAGCCCTGGCAGGAGGCAGCCCCAGGGACCAGAGACAAACAAACCTGCCTGTTGCTTCCTTCACCCTCCCTCAGTCCTGGTAGAAGCTTCAGGTCCCTCCCTAGCTTTGCTCTCTCCCTTCCCTTGTCATCCTGCCCTCTGACATTCTGCTAGTCATCAGCTGCTGGACATTGGCCACGTCACTTCACCCCCTGGGCCTCGCTTTGCACACGCTGGCCTGGGCTCTAACTCTCTGACGCACTAAGGAAGGGATCTTAGGCTAATTCAAGTCCCACACATGGTGGGTACCTGTTTAGTCATTCTCTGCACCTCTGCTTCCCATTTGTCAGGAAACCAATAAATAAAAATAACAGAGTGTTTTCCAGTAAGCTCTCTACGTGTGCTCCAAGTTAGGGTTAGATGACCCCCTCTGGGTTTTAATTCCTGCTGTCAGCACTCACTAAGCCATGTCATCAAGGGCCAAACCTCAATCACTTCTCCAGGATCAGAAAGGTTCCACTGGCCCCAGGGCTGACAACATGGACCTAGAAAACCACTGTGCTGAAGTTTTACCCTGGAGCCACCAGGTAGCTAAAGCCCAGAGATGGATATTTACCCCATAATGTGGGAATACACCTTGAGCGAGCACCAAATCCACCCAGTGCTGTAAGTGACTCCCTAACTTCATCTCATTGAATTCTCAAGTCAACTGTGGGAAGTAGGCATATAGGGCTGACATGCATTTCACAACCCCAAAAGTATCACATGTCCTGTAATTGGCTATTATCCCCCTCATGTGATGAGGACCCTGAGAGCTGCAATGACTTGCCCATGGTCCCATGTCCAGAAAGTAGCACAGGTGGCATGAGAAGGCCTCTTCTGACTCCCAGTCCAGTGATTTCAGGACCCTCCTTATTGCCCACCATCCAGAGACAAGGGTACCTACCCACGGTCACACAGGTAAAGTTAAAACACCCAGGTGCCTGCTACACTATTCTGTGTGCTCTTCCTTCCTACTGATTAGGACACCACAACCCTTCCTTTTTTTTTTTTTTTTAATCTTCTACCTGGTCTATTTGAGATGACACAGAAGGTACTTTGTAAACATCAGTGTTAGTTATTGCATTAACAGATTAAGGAACCAGCTAGGTCAAGCAAAGGCTGGCACTGTCCTTGTTTATTTACTCAGATGTAGCATTCTTGCTGGTGCACCCAAACGGGCCTAGGGGCCACATGGGACTGTATTATGACAACATCCTCCTAATGCACGTGATACTGACTGGGTCCCAAGTATCTATATTCTTGTGAATTCTAGGAGGTATCATCCAAGGCTGAATGAAAGTTTCAAGCTACTGGTGGAGTTGTTTGCAAAGGTGTCATGTTGAGGCACTGTTATTCTCTACAGAATGGTAATACTCAGTGGCCAGGTTGCCTTCAGATTTCTCCAAATCAAAGATATTTACTTTAAGTCCACTGAGCCTGGAGAGAGGGAGAATGAGGAGGGGATGAACTTTAATTGACACCAATGTCTCCAAAGACCTGATGAAAGATGACTCTATTTTGGAGAAATCACAAACATGTTCCAAAGGATTTGTTTTATCAAATGATAAACCACTAATCCTATTAGCTCATCATGCTCATAAGATCCAACTTACTGTTAAATCAGATTAAAAAACACAGATAGGCATAAAGTGGTGTTGCTACTGCTTAAGGAAGATTTAAACGTTAAAGTGAAAAGAATGCAAAATGTATTAGCAACTTAATCCTCTGGCTAATAAAATAAGTTTATTTATATATACATGGTAGCTGAATTCTGTGGATAAGGAAAAATAAGTCATACATCCACATATGTATATATAACATATGTATCTTTGATTACATATATTATATATAAATTTTACTTTACAAACAGATTTCTCTCTATATATACTCACACACATTGATATATTAAATGCAATAGCCAACAGAAATACTATGATCAGGTTTAAAAGGTCAGACAGAAACACGTTAGAAAATGAATCTCAGAGAAACATTTAACCTGCTTCTTTGTGGGTTGAAGAGTCTTTGAAGAGAGACAACAACCAAACTCATGTTAAATAGGTTCATACGACATTGAGAACACACATTTTTGAAGGCCATCTTTTTTTTTTTTTTTAAAACAGGAAAATCCAGGAAGGAAAAAGTCATGATAAAAAAGACCACCACAACAACACAAACATATGAATCAACATTCAAGTTCAATTTCCAGTCTGACTATAAGAACATCTATATTCAAAATATACTATCAAACTATTTTTCTTTTAGAGAAAGGAAGCATCAAAGCAGTTATCATCTCTTCCTATCTATTAGGAAAAAAATAGAGAAGCAGCAGTCTCTGGAAGCCCCTCTGGTGTCTCTGAGGGCCTGACCCCTGCTGGCTGTGCTGGACGCAGTGTGGCTAGGGGCGGCAGCCAGCCGGCCAGGGCCTGGGGAGCAGCGGGGGCAGACAAGGGACGATGGGAGCTGGTGGCAGGTCCACTGGCTGGTGTTGCAAGCAGGTCTGCAACGCCGAGTAGGGGTATAATGATGTCTTCTCCCAAGCTATTGCTTGGGCAATCTTGTTTTTGTTTTTATGATTGCAGGAGGAAGTTTTCAAAAACAACAGCTCTACACCTCAAGGCTTCTTAGCGAAACATAGTTTCGCTTAGTTTCGCTTCTTAGTTCCTCAGGGGCACAATACTATTGCCTTTCGAGAAAACAAAGCTAAACCCCAATAAACATCTGATCCTTGAAGAAGGGCAAGCATTCTAAAGCTTCAGGGCTGGGATCTGAATTAAACCCTCCCCGAGAGAAAGGCCTGGGTGTTTCACGCAGATGTGGGTGTTGGAGGGGACGCAGGAATGGGCTTGGAGGGAGCGGTTTTCTGCCCGAGAAGGCAGTCCTGTTGCTAGCTTGGTGGGAACGCCCTGTTGTGTGATGATGGTAGGGGGACGTGATCTTAGGATGCCCAGATGTTCTCTGTGGATTCCTGAGGGCTGCATGCTCCTGTCCACCGTCCATAATGTGGATGGAATTAAACTTGACATCTGATGGGGCCATCGTGAGGTTCCAGGGCACTCATCCTCTGGGGTGATGACACGTCCCCCCTCTTCTTGCTCTGCACGAGTGTCTGCTGTCTTCCCCCTGGGCAGCCTAGTTCCCTTCACAGGTGTGCATACGAGAAGGGAGGGAACGGGGTCACACTGAATCAGGAGGAGCTAGAGCTTTAAGAATCTCTCAAAGGCCTGTGTACTGGACCACTCTAACATTCAGCTTCTACAGGAGGTCAGTCTCTCACCCCACCTGTCTGGGGCTCCTGGGATCTCCAAGTGCTTAAGAACACTTATAAAGAGAAGCAATCAAAGCAATCAGTGCAACTGCTTTGCTTAGAAATACCTTTATTTTATAAAGCCACGGATCATTCTGTAAAGTTTTCTTTTTTTTTTAAACCACACTTATAAAAAAGATGTTGACAATTTTTAGGAAAAAAAAAAGCTGAAAATGTTTCTCATTAAGTCAGGGTTACACAAAGGTTATATTTATAATATATATATTTGTATATTTATAATTTAGAGACGAAAAATAGGGAATGGCAAAGCGAAGGCTGCTGCAGTTAGATCTCGGATACTTGGTCATTTCCCACAAACAGTGTTTCTTGACAGAAGGGGTTGACGAGGACCATCCCGGTGTCTCTGTAGTCCCCGTTGGCAGGGGAGCGGGGCTCTGAGAGCTGGTCCTGGGGGAGAGAGGGAGGAGACGGAGTGAGCTGGAGAAGGCTCAAGAAGTGGCTGTTCTTCAAGAAATGCACACACGGGGACATTTATTTCAGCATCGATCGCTTGGCACACATGCCCATCATCCCCACTGCCAGTGCTGAGGGGCACGGCCCTGTCGGCTGCACTTTCAGATTTTTATAGCAGCTTCCAACAGAGGTTTCCTGCGTAGCTTTCCAGAGATGGTACTGCTTTCCTCGTCAAAGTCAGAGGGGGCTCGCCATGCACAGCACACACTGTGCACGGCTCACTGCCCTACTCCGCAAGACTCAGGCCACTTGGACCCCAGGCTCTACCTCCTGCCTCTTTCGCACAGACCTCTGGGCAACTTCTCTGCTCTTCCTTTCTGAACATACTCAGGGCTTGCCCACAGCTTTCCCTTCCTGCCACCCACCTGTGAGAATCTGAGAGACCTGTCAGAGTCTTCAAGGGCAAATTCTTCCCCCTCTTGAATCCTCCTAGAGCCTGGTCAAAATTATTGCCCCATTTCCTGTAGCACTAGAAGTACTGAGCTCAACAGATCTAAATTTGTGTGTGATTGGACAATCGGTGGTAAGTGGAAAATTCAGTCTGTATACTTAACCCCAGGAACAGAAAAGCCTAGAAATAGGCAATCCACTGCCCGGAAGGTCATCTGAATGGCTTTGGCAGGGTTTTTGGTCTCAACTACCAATGACTGCGAGCATTTGTGGGCCACTGAATGGCTGTACTCAGATTTAGGCCTTGTTACTAATTTAGAAGCACCAACAAAAAAGTCATAGCTTGTTCAAATTAAAATACCTAACTTCTCAGAACTTCCAGATCATTTCAGGGCAAAGCCTAGGTATACTGGCTTATGCCAGAAGTTGATTTTTAAACAGAACATGCATAATAGATACTTTCTGAGGAGTACTCACTATTCTATGAATTATAAGGTAATAAAGGAAGACATTCTATTGTTTTCCAAAGATGAGCATGCCCTTTACCGTCTGGAATGAGCTGAGTACCCATCAGAGGGGTGGACACGGGGCCAGCATCTGACTAAGGAGACTAGGGCAGTGCCTGCACAGGGGACAGAAACCCCTTTTCTCCACTGTGCTTGGGGGTGAGCAGTGGATGAGAATTTTGGAGGTTGAGATTTGGATTGTTGCTTTACAGTTTTCACAAAGCAAGTATTCACCGAGGTGAACCATGTGGGTATGTTTCACAGACTAAAAGATAAAAATGGAGAAAGTTATCCAGGAAATAACCAAGGCAAAAAAGAAGAAAAAAGGGGAGGAAGAGAAGGAGAGGGAAGAAGAGGAGGAGGAAGAATGAGGGGAAGCGGCGGCAAAAGAACAAGGGGAGGAAGAGGAGAAGGACGAGGGAAAAAGAAGAAAGAATGGAAGGTCTCCAGGCACCATCTGGGCACCACAATTTTGCCTGTACAGCCCGGATTTGTGTTTGCTGCTTTCATTAGCACGGAAGGGGGGTCAGGCCCCAGAGGAACTTGCTTAGGCAAAGCGTTTGGGGGTCTCCAAAGTTGGCAGCTAAAGGGCAGGTGTCCCGAGTGCGTGTCCCGAGAGGACTTGGAACACGGCGGAACGTGCCCCAGGGCCTAACGACCACTCCGTGTAGGGCCGGCAGTGCGCGCGTGCCCAGCTGCCTTCACCCTGGCTCTGGGCCTGCATTTTCCCTCAAATGCCGTGAGCCCAGAGAGTCAGAACAAACTGTAATGTTACCCTACACAAAGCAGAATGAAGGGACTGCTGGGAGGGAAACAGCCATAAAGCCCACTCTAAAGCCAAAGCGAGCTGGGCGCTGCGGTTCTACGCACCCCCCTGCTCCTGGCTGGCTGGGGCGGCCGGCCCTTCTGTCCAGGGCCCGGGCTCGTGCTGGACGGTGGCCCTGGTGCTGTGTGCTGGAATGACTAACTGGAATATTCTACAAACCAGGGCCTTTCTTACAGCACTGCCCTTTGGCTTTGGTTTTCATTTGCCAATCTGTAGAGAGAGCATGAGAAACCTAGAGCTCAGGTATTTACAGCCCATAGTCACAGCTGGGCCAGCCCCTTTGCCAAGTCACACATTTTTTCACTCACTACAGCAGTTCTCAGGAGCACTTGTTGCCATACCAAATGTGCCCAGGCCACACTGACGGTTGATGCTTCCTGACTCTGGCCCCTCTGTTGCCCTGGGGTAAAATGATTTTGTTGAGCATTGATGGTGTTAGGCCCTGGGCTGGGCGATGGGTACCTTGTGGTGAACGAAACTTATAGTTCGTTTGCTAGACATTCACCAAGGGCCCACCAGGTACCAGGCGCTGTTCTAGGTGCTGAGAATAGAGCAGTGAACACAAGACACCATGCTCCAGTCCTCACGCGGCTTGTGTCCCAGCAGGAGGGCCAGACCACAAACCAGTCAACCCAGAGACAAGGATGTGATGTCAGGTGGTGAGAAGCACTTTGAAGACCAATAAGGCAGGGAAATAGAGAACAAAGGCGGAGTCTAATCAATACAGGGCAGTCAGGGAAGGCTTCCTGGAGGAGGGGACATTTGAACAGAGACCCAAAGGAAGTGAGGGAGGAGGGCGTCCAGGAGAAAAGCATTCCAGATAGGCACGAGGCAAAGCCCACGGGGGCAGGGAGCAAGCTTCCTGTGCAGGGGGAAGAGCAAAGAGGCCTGTGTGGCTTGAGTGTGGGATCGCTGGGAAGTATGGTGGGGTCAGGAGGTGGGCAGGGGCCAGCTCGTGCAGGGCGTGGGGAGGGGAGTGGATTTTACTCAAGGGTGAGGAGAGGAGCCATTTGAGAGCTGAGTCACGGCTTCTCTGGGGCCCGGCCTTGAAGAGATCATCTGGCTACTGCGTGGGGGTCAGACTGCAGGAGGCGAGACGGGTGTGGGAGCCCTGTCTTCAGAGGCCGTCGCAGCGTCATGATGTGACAGATGAGGGCGGCCTGGGTGGGGAACAGCGGTGCAGGCTTGTCCTTAGGAACAGCGGGTGAGATTTGCCAACAGACGGGACGTGTGTGAGAGGGAAAGGCTCTGGCAGTGACATCTACGTGAGGGACGCAGGTGAGGTGCTGGGGTTGGGGATGGGGAGGGGAAATCTAGGGTTCAGTCCTGGGCGTGTTGACTTCGAGAGCCCTATTAGACACATGCAGCGCGTGTCAGAGCCGGAGCGCCTGGGTACAAGAGTCTTGAGCTAGGGCAGCCGCCGAGGCTCCAGGGTTTGGAGTCGGCAGTGCAGAGGTGATATTTAAGCCACGGGACTAGGTCGAAAGAGAAGAAAAGTGGTGGCAGGACTGAGGCTGGGCACTCCAGGGAAGAGAGGCTGGGAGAAGGAGAAGGAACCAGAAACAGAGGTGGAGAAGGATCTGCAGGAGGTGGCAGGGAAGCAGAGAGAATGGGGTCTCTGCTGCCCACGAGGAGTGAAGAAACACCGTGGGGAGGAAAGGATGGATGTGCCAATGCTCCCGACACAAGGACCAAGGTGAGTGCTCAGGACTGGCCACTGGCTTAGCAATGTGGAAAGGACAGGTTACTCTACTGAAGTGACTTCAGACCAGCAGCCACACGATCACAGCTCTCGTAAGCGCCGTGATGAGCACGCATAGCGAGCTGAGACCATGTGACAGGACGGCCGAGCCCAGCCTGGCAGGTGGGGGGAGGCATCCCGGAGGAAGTGACACTTAGACCGGCCCTGGATGATGGGTAGGAGTCACTGAGGCGAACGGTGAAGAGGCTGGTGGGCAGGGAGACAGCGCAGGAGAGGAAGAGCTCATGCACAGGCCTGGAATGGGTAAGACCTGGTGCCGTGAAGGAACAGAAAGAAACCCCGTATGGCTGCAGTTAGCAAAAGAGGGAGAGGCTGCAAAGCTGGGCTGGGTCTAGGTCCACCTCGAAGGTCCTGTGAAAGACTTTGAACTTAGAGCAACGGGAAGCTACGAAGGGTCCCGAGCACAGGAGCGATGTGAAAAGCGCCCTGGCTGCTTCGGGAGGGTCTGCAGGGAAGCTGGGGCTTGCACCTCCACAGGGGCTCTCCTCAGTCTCGCTGCCTGCACCCAGACACCTGCCAGCTTTCTCCTGGGCCACCTCAATGGCATTCTAGTTGACCCACCTATTTTTAGTCTGGTTTTCTGTCTGTCCTTCCATCCATTCATCCATCTATCAAACCACCCTTCCTTTCCTCCCTTATCCATCTGCTGCTCTCACATAGAGTGCTTTTCCCAGGCCATCAACACACTCCTTCTAAAACTGACCATCGAAACTTTCACTGACCCTCTGCTGCTCAAAACTAAAGTCCAAACTCCATAAAGCCCCACTCGGGGCTGTGCCGAATCTGGCCTTCATCCTGCTTTCCTGCTGCACCCTGGCCCCTGCCTATCCCCAGCATGGGAATGGGCAGAGCGTGGACCCTGTGGTCAGAGTCCCGGGCTCTGAGCTCAGTGCTCTCCTGGGCCAACCTGGTGTCTTGGGCAAACACTCCCTGACCCAGTGTATCCTCTCTCCTTCCTGGGCTACACCCAGCACACACGCCCATTCACTCAGGCTATTTCCTTGTTGAGGCGCCTGTTAAATCCATTTATCCTTCCTAGCACGTCCCTGGGGAAGGCTTTCCTCCCCTGGGTGTCCACAACTCTTTGTCTATACCTTGTTCTTGTGTTTCCGCTAATTTGTTCTGTTTTTGCGTGATGCTGGGCTTTGTTCCCCTAGCACATCTTGGAACCCGAGCCTCTTGGGAGCAAGCTCTCATCTTCGTAGTCCCCCGAGAGTGCCTGCCACAGAACAGGTCCTCACTGAGTATTTGTTGATTGACTTATTCCCAGAAACCAAGAGTGCCAGGAACAGTGCTTCCCAAACTGTAATGTGCAGAGACCACGCAGGATTCTTGCTAAAATGCAGATCCTGGCTCAGCAGGGCTGGGCGGGGCCCACAAGCTCTTGGTGTCACCTATATTGCTGGTCCACAGGCCACATGTCGAGGACAGGGGCACTCAGAAATGAGCAGATGCCCTGTGGCTCTTTGAGCCCGGCGTCTTTCCCTGCAGTGGGGCCAGCACTTCCAGGGGACCCCTAGGAAGCTGTGGGGCTCCTTACCTCGGAGGTCTCGAGGGACTGGATCTCCCTGGGCAGCTCCACGGCGTGCCTGTTGAAGTAGTCCATAGTGATGGCATTGTTCCAGTAGCTCAGGTTGTTCTCTGGGTTGGCTGTCTTCTTCTTCCTCCTCAAGCAGCACACGGTCAGCAGGACGGCTGCGGGGAGAGTCCGAGTCAGAGAGAAGGAGAGGTACAGATGTTGGGGAGATGGGGTGACAAAAAAGGCCCCCTGCTTTCATGAGTGTCTGTCCTAGTGTAAGTGTGGAGGAGCACAGACAGGTCCAGGGGTCCTCAAACTTTTTAAACAGGGGGCCAGTTCACTGTCCCTAGGGCTGTTGGAGAGTGCGGCGCACATTCCACACATGCGCACTGTGGGTCCGGGACCAGTCGGCTGCTAAGCAGGACAGGCAGCGGGGACAAAAACACCTGGCAGGCCGGATAAATGTCCTTGGCGGGCCGCAGGTGGCCCACGGGCCATAGTTTGAGGACGCCTGGGTTAGACGATAAACAAGCAGTCAACAAAATGAATAAAAAAGTAAATGCAGAGCATGATAACTGTTAGAAGAAAATGAAACAGGGTGAAGTGAAAGAGGCAATGAGGACCTTGGGGAGGGAGCTCTGCAGAGGCATCCTTGGAGCAGAGCCTGGAATTCGGGAAGGAGCCGCTGTGTGCAGGGCGGGCAGTGTGTTCTGCTAGGGAGAACAACATGCACCAGGGCCTCAGGTGGGGACAAGCTGGGTGTGTGTGAGGAGAAGGGGACGGAGCAGCATGAGGACTGGAGTGACTGTCAGGGAGTGAGGAGGCTGCATCCAGAGGGCTCGGGGCTTGGTGCAATCTGGTGATGCCCGTGGATTCTACAGTGCTGCTCACAAGTTTGCACCAGAAAAGGCCTTGCTTGGCTGCAGAGTGGCGTGTGGGCTGGAGCTACACCGCCCGAATGATGAGCACAGTTCTCACTTGGGGTGGAAGCATGGCGGACAGGGGCAGGTGGAGTGAACTTTACAAAACCAGCCTTTGACTTCCATAGAAGGCCTTGAAGGCAGAGGCTCGCAGAGCAAAATCACAGGGTAGAGGTCTTAGATCCTGGTGAGACAGCTTCTCTGGCATCATCATCATCATCATCATCATCAGAAAACTGTGCTAACAGTTACATAGGACTTACTTCCTGGGCATGATTCCAAGCATATTAGACGTATCAATTCATTGGATTCTCCATTGAACCCCATAAGGCCAGTTATATTTTATAGATAGGAAAACTGAGGCTCAGAGAGGTAAACTGACATGCCCAAGAGCAAATCCAGACATCTGGACTCCGAAGTGTGTGCTCTTACTCATCCACGATTCTTCCCTAGACTGATGCAAAAGCCCACCCTGCACAGGGGCCTGGTCAGGCCCGCACAGCCGGCCCGAGCACTGTGTGACGTGTGACCCCGGGATGCCCAGGACCCAGGAGGAGGGAGTATGTCTGGATTATGTTGCCGAGCCAGGCGTGAGCAGAGCAGCTGGGACATGTCAACTGCAAAGGCCTCTGAGGTTAGAGAGGTAGGGTGGCCTATCTGGGCACACACAACAGAGGGGTGATGTAATGACAATGGTGACAGAAGTCCTCCTGGGGAGAAGCCAGTAAGTGAGGACCGAGTATGTCCTGCCCTCGGTTCACCATCATCAGAGCCTCCAGGGATGGGGGAGCTAAAACTCTGGGCCCGAGGTGGACAGGGCCACTCCTAACATCCTGGCAGTGCCACCATCTCTGTGCTGGGGAGTGGAGGCCCAGGTGACCTGTCCAGAGAGGCCAGCACTGGGGGGGGGGTGCATGCCAGGGCGTGGGCAGCTGCACTAGCTACCACCTGTACAGGCTGAGACCTCAGAGCCACAGCCCAGAGCCCAGGCCCTGTGGGCCGACGGAGGAGCCCGTAGCTTTCCCTGCAGCTGCCAGCCTTGTGGGCCTCTCAACCTGGAAAGGCCTTCGGATAAGGTCAATAGGGTAAGTTTCCATTTGGGTGAACTTGCCCAAGGCCATGCAGCCATGCTTTGATCAAAAACATTTTCAATTTGCTTATCATTCTTCCAGACCCCTCTTAAAAACCTTTAAAACACAGAGGAGATTTCTGAATGTTTGGGCTAACAGGGGTTTTAGAGATTAGCTGGTGCGGAACTTTTCAAATGTGTGGGTCTCCTCCTCTCCTTCTCCGTCCTCCAGTGAGAGAGGAGGGAAGGGGTGAGAAGGGAGCTGCAGTGCTCGGCCTGAAAGCTGCTAATTCCGGCCACCGCCTTCTTCTACAGAGGAGAAACCTGGCCCACAGTGCCCGGCTGACTCCCCACAGGTCACGGGTGTGTGAGTGGCAGGGCTGGGACAAGATCCCAAGTCCCTGCTTTCCTTTTCTGCTGTCTCTATTCTTCACTGGCACACCTTTCACCCTGCTTCTGGAACTGGGATGTGAAACAGCCTGGGGGAATTGTCGCTGGCGACACAAGCCGCACAGAGAAGGAGGCATTTGGGAAGTGGGCAAAGTGCTGTTTCCCAGTTTAGTACCGGTGGAGTTAGAGCTGTGGTGGGGGACTGTCAGGGACATTTCCCACATTGGGACAAACAGAGTGACTCTCCAAGTATCAGCTTGTAGGGACACATCCCATCGTGCCCCGCAAAACACTGTCACAGATGCAAAACATGGGCTGGCAGGGGAGAAAATATTTGTGAGCCCTATCTGTAGAGTTTGCACACTTCTCTAAGATAGAAAGAAATTTGTGTCTCTGAGCTATTGAGCAGTTACAAGCAAACAGAATTAAAGGGACAGATGTGGTCTTAGGCATTGGCCAGTCAAGATGGTGATAGGAACATAGAATTTAGAATCATAATCCATATGATAATCTATTACTTGCATGACCTGAGTAAGTTACTAAATCTTTCTCAGCCTTAGCTTCCTCTGGGGAAAGACTAAATGCAATTGCGCATGCGCCAGCACTTTGACTAGTCCCAGGCGCACGGGAGGTGCTGAACCAAATCAGTCCCTGTCGCTATCCTACATTCTTATTCTACAAAGTGGAGCATGGAAACCCAGAGGTGAACTTGCCCAAGGCCATGCGGCTAACCTGGGCTGGCAGAGCTTGCAGAATCCAAGTCCCCAGACGCCCAGTTCAGCGCTCCAACAGCCACAGTGCCCTGGCTCCAAAGCCTGGGCCTGTTTAGAATGCCAGACGCGGGGATCCTGCCCTGCGGGAAGGGCTGGCACCGTTGCAGGATGGCCTGGGAGTTGGAACAGGCAGTTCTGTTCCATGCCTTCTCCCCTCACGTGTTGTTAGTGCTCCTGGCATGATTATTTCTCCCAGGGAGAGTCCAGTGCTTCTCAAGTGCCATTTCATTTATTCACCGGCAGCCAGCCTGGCTATAGTGACAGCACGGGCCTGGAGTCAAAAGATCTGGGTTCATGCTATGGCTCTGCCTACCTGGTAAGTCACTTTGTCTCTGATTAATATGGACTTCATAGGGTTGTAGAGAGAATTAAAGAGATCATGGATGCAGAATGCCAAGCACAATGTCTGGCATACAGTGGGTGTTTAACTTATGAAAGTTCTCCCTTTGTTCTCCCAGAATCTTCTACAAGATTCTATAAAGAAAAATTGGGTGACACGACTGTCAGGTGGCTCCAGGCCAGAGCTCCAGTTGGGGTTTAGACGTTCACTAATTTTGGTGGCCTGACCATTCATCCAAGAAAGAAAAGTACAAACCAGACTTATGGAGTCTCTACTGTATTCTCAGCACTGACTCAGGCACTTTGCAGGCTGGTCTAACCCACACAGTAACTGTCCGAGGAAGGTGCTGTTACTATTCCCATGTATAGAGGAGGTAATTACGGAAGGTCACAGAAGTTAGTAACATTGATCTTGATCACCACATACTGCAACTTGCCCCCAGGTCTCAGTGACCTTCAAGCTGATGACTACTGTCCTATGTTGTCCTGAACACTGGAGGGGACGTACACGAGGAATGTCAAACACAAGGTGTTAGCCACTCCCTTTCCCATTTAGTCGAGAAGCTTCTACTGCTCTGTTTCTCCTAGTGCGACAGCCATCAAGGCTCTAGGGGAGGGGAGTGGGGTCCCTATTTCTTTGAGTTTAAAAACAGGGCTGGGAATTAGGCAAGCTCTCTTGCCTTTCCAGGAACGTCAGCGGGAAATCATCCATGGTTCGTCAGCTGTGCGACGGGAAGAGGGTTGCTGATTTTAAGATGGAGGCTTTGGGTTCTGTGCTCACATTTCTGGGATGCTTTCAGGTGATGGCACCTGCTGTGTGATGAGAAGTGGAAATGAAGCCCTACAGGTCCCCTGGGGCCAAACACCTGCTGAAATTGCTTCTCCCTGGCCGGTTTGAGCACGCATTGCAAATCCTAACAACAAGATGAATAACAATCACTGTTCGATCACTGCCATTTATGGAGCACCTTTTCCATGGCAGACACTGAGATAAGACCTAAAGCGCATCATCTCTGATTTTTACAAGTCTTGGAGGTAGGTGTTGCAGCCACGCAGACGCCCCACTCAGACCTCCTGCTGCACGGAGCGTAGCACATGGACAGTCCTGCTGCCACCCCTGGCCGAGGCTGTTTCCCAGGCTGCGCCCAGCCATGACTGACATGGCAGGGGCACTAGCGCAGGCCTATTCCTGTGGGACTCAGGACTCCTCTAATGGCTCAAGGACTGCTATTGGCCTGGCAGAAACATTCTCAGAACTGCACTGTGGTCCAAGACTCTTCCCACCCAATCTTCCTTCCTGCCTCCTCTCCTTTCATGGCCTGCACTGCAGTCTGGGGCTTGCTCTGCCTACTCCAGTTCCTCCCTGAACATTTTACAGGTGTTTCCCCAATAATTCTCTCGCATGCCTAATCCTGTCTCAGTGCCTGCCTCTTGAATGGAACTAACACAGTAGACATCGGTCCCATTTTGCAGATGGGAAAACACTGAATAAATGGTTAAGTAACTTGTGGTTTAAGTCCCACAGCCAAAGAGTGGCAAGAGCTGGGGTTATGTGCAGGTGTGTTTGAATCCACATGCTAAGTCTTTCTAGCACACAGGTGTGGCAGCAGGACTGTCCATGTGCTGCGCACCATGCAACAGGAGGTCTGAGTGGGGCATCTGCGTGGCTGCAACACCTACCTCCAAGACTTGGCTTCCTCTCTTGTGACCCGCGAGGGTTAATGTTAGATAAACTGGAGAGGACAGAGAGCAATGACACATTATACTTGGCCCCTTTGTTTTATAGATGAAAAACCTGAGACCGGTGAGGGGAAGGATTAGTCTGGGGGTGCCAACCTGAGGGGTGAGCCAGGGCTGTGGACAGTCATTTCCCTCCTTTGGAGGTTGAGGGAGGCCAGGAGGGGGCCTCAGGACATGGAAGGACAACAGGCCGGACACAAGGCCAACGGCATGGCGAAACCAGGCTGGGGCCTTAGTCTGGTGCCCCAGCCTGGCAGGTGGGAATGTGCCTGCAGAAGCCCAAGGAAGTTCTCAACAGGGGCTGCTGGCCAGGAAGCTCAGGGAAGAGCTGTTAGGGCGTGGGCGTGACACCAGCGTGGCCGGCGTGCATCCCCTGGACAGCCTGGCCTGCCCTGAGCATCTTCCCCTCCACCTCTCCCAGCTCCATGAGCCCCAAGGCGATAACTCCCCAGCTGCACTGCCTTCTGGTCGCAATCTCTTCTTTTCACTGGCAAGAGCCACTCTGATCCAGGTTTTCTTATATAACAATTACAAACCCAGTTAGAGGCTGTGAGTGAAAAGGCACACGTCCACATTCAGATCTAATCTTCACTGAAGAACTGCTAATAACACAGCCAAGAACTACCGGGCACAATGGTACGTGATCTCTTTGGATGCTGCACTGATGCTCCAGCTCTGGAAGCCAGGCTGCTCTGGCTGCTCTGAACCTGGACACTTGAGGCCAGGTTCCCCAGGCCAGGTGTACACAGACCCTTAAGTGTCCAGGTTCAGAGGGGCTTAACCTGATTCCAGCAGGCTGACCTGGGGTTGGTGATGACAAACATCTGCAGCTGGCCTTGTTTCCTGACCTCACTTCCAGACAGCTCGTCTTCTCACAGGGAGGATGGGTGAAGACATTCTCAAGAAAGGACATGACACATGACAGACACGCAAGGGAGCCTAGCAGTGCCTCAAAACTGACATGCCTGTGAAAACCCAGAGCACTGACAATGGCAAGTGAGGGCCATTCAGCGCTGGGCCCAAAGGCTTCTGGCAAGGGCGGTGGGCTGTGTGTGTCCTGACGGTGGCAGCAGAGACCAGCTCAGGAGCCACCCAGCTCCCCTGCCCTGAGTGTGGCCTGGATCCAATCAATCTCAGTCTCAGCACATCTGAAGCTGCGTGTGGCTGCGAGTGTCTGGCAGGGCTCAGGAGACAAAGCTTTTCTCCCTGGCACACATATATCCTTCTGGCCACTGGGTTGGGCTCGTGATCTGGAAAGGCAGGCGAACTGATGCCCTCCTTCCATGCTTAGGCCTGGGACCCACTGTGCTCACCCCCTGCTTCCACCCAGAGCAGAGGAAATGCCCCTGCCCAGCACCCTGGGCCATCTGAACTCTGGCTTCTGGTGGCTGCGCAAAGCAGGGCAGGAGCCAGTGCTGGTCTGAAAAGCCAGATAGGAGGAAACCGATGCATGCACTTTGCTACCAGCTCAGATAATCTGAAATAGCTGGAAACTGGCAAAGAATGACTTCCTTCTTTGAGGTCTGTAGAGTAGCTTTAGAATAAATGGAGCTATTGAGAAATTCTGAAACAAGGGGACCTTAGACCTGAAAGAGGTCCGCTGGCCTGATGACTAGAGTGGGGCTGGGTTGTGGGAATAGCCCAAACAGATAGGATATTTACCGAGAGTGCACAGGGCTCTAAAGCTGGACAATCTTCTCCCTTAATGTCCCCCTCATCAGGGCCTTCACAGGGTTGGAGATGGCCTCACAGGAGTCAGGGCCATGACTGAGGTCAGGGAGGTGATGTGGAGGCAGCCAGGGCTGAGGTGGGAGTGAAGGCTACGGAGCCTCCCTGCAGATGGTTGGAAATGCAAGACAGACTGCAAAGGGGGTGGGTGTGCGGTTCCCAAGGGGCTACGAGTCTCTTTTGAATACAAATTCGTATCTTTCTTTAGAAAGTAATATGTTCCATCCCCAGCACCTGAAGACTTCTTTCAGGGTGCCAGAAGCATTCCTGAGGGGCAGTTCCAAGCTGTGTCCTTGCTCCTGTCTTGGCTGACATTTTTATGCATGGTTCAGGCAGCCCATGGGCTTTCCAGCAAGGTCTGATCTAATTTCAGACTCATACACAGCAGAAGGGCTGGGGGAGGAGTCGTCATCCCTCTAGAATTGCAAAACCCAGGTGGGTGTGTCCTGTGGGGGCACAGGCTCTCCAGCCCAGGCAGAGGGAGGCGCAGGTGCTAGCGGTTGGGGAGGGAGCTGCATCACCCATCTCTGAGTCTCTAAGGCTGGGCAGAGTGCCTGGCACACAGTGGGCACTCGGGAAATAGTGCATTCAATCAAACAGATCTTGCACCACCAGATCTGGGCTGTGACTGGGGCCCTGGGCAAGTCACCTCTCCTGGCAACTCATTCCCCAACATGTAAGGTGTGGATGACAGCCAGAGCCATCCTGGCACCTTGGCAGTGTGTTTGCTTGTTTCTGTTTTTATTTTATTTTTCTGGCCGGTCTGTTTTAAGAATAGAATGATAAAAAATAATGGGCACTTACTTTGTAAACCAGAGCATCCAAGACACGTGTTGAGAATTGGAAAATTAGAAAGCTTGTCTCTACTATGGTTAGTTCTCAAGTATGACCATATTAATAACTCATTGGCTAACAGTGCTACATTTTCTCATTATCATTCTTCTGTTTTAGAAGTGGGAAATCATGGTTTCAAGAATATACATGTGTTTCCATGACAGACAATAAAGCTGCTTTCATTAAGAATGAAATATGCAATTTGCAAACATTTTCACTTTTCCAGAATTGGGTCCTTACGTAAAAGCAGGGCACCTACCCTTGACAGGGAAAGTTTGCTTTGCTTATCAACCTGAAGGAGACAGAAAGCTGGGAGAGGTGGCTCCTGGAATGAGTCCAGATTCCAGGTTTAAAAAGATCTTGGAGTATAAGGCTAAGTGGAAATCATGGTTCATGTTAAAAGTCATAAACCTCTGGCACTAAGCACCATGGCATTAGGAAAGGCTGGGAGACTTAGCTTGACAGCCTTCCTGGTTGGACACCTTTGGGGCTTTATTCCTCTTGAGATCAGGGCAAGCCCGTGGTGTGACTTGAAACCAGCACAACCAACAGAGTCGATGCCGGCATCAGCTGCCTGGATGTGAACAAAGTGTCCACCATCACTCCCTCTGCTGAGACCAGGCATGTGTGGAATGCTGTGCTTCCTTCTAGGGACAAAGTGCAGGTTCCCAGGGGAGGCGGATGGGCCAGGCCCAGGGCAATGCAGCCCTGTGAAGACGACTTGGACAGACAGGGATGGGCAGCTTGGACAAAGGGAAGATCGCCCTCCGGAGCTATTTCAAATGTTCAAGGGGGTTGTCAGATGGACTTGTTCTGTGTGGCTTCAGATGACATGGCTTAGGACCACAGAGTGGGAATTATAAGGAGGCAAATTTCAGGCCCCCAAGAGAGCTGGGTGAGAGCCCAGAGGGTCAAAGGATAATGCGCTGTCAAAAGAGTAGGAGTCCGGAGATGGGGGGTGTCACCCCTAGAAGGGATCAAGGAATGGCCGGGTGATAACCATTTGGGGGTGGGCTGAGAACAGTACGGATTCCTGCGAGGTTATCAGAGAAACTCTAAGAATTGAGGAAAGAACACTCCGGCAAGACGTGAAGAAAGCCCTGAGGTTCTGAGATGCTCTGTCCAGTCTCTATGGAGACGGCAGGGAGAACACCCCCAAGTCCTCACGCACAGAGGGACAGGCGGCAGCAAGGACGTGCTTATGGCCTTGGGGGAGCAAAAATAATGGCTGTATTCCGCTCACACCACCTATGAACAAATAGGGCGAGAGTGGAGAGTTGCTAAAATTCACATAACTCTCAAGCCTTAATTTAGCTGCAAAAACTATGTTTTTGTCAAGATTAATAGAACTCCTTCCCCCCATATGAAAACATTATCTCCTCTTCTTTCTTGGGGGAAGAGAGAGACAGAAGGAGACAAGAAGAGGGGGCAGAGGAGAGAAAAGACAAGAAAGAAGGCAGAAGAGAAGCAGGAGAGGAAGGTGAGGGCTGTGCTAGTTGGAGGCTGTAAATTTGGAAGCGTCAACGGTCGCCCACGGTGTCTTGGTGACAGGTCGCTAGAGGCATTGGCAGGCTACTCTTGAGGCAGGCTGGTGGCAAGACAAGAGCCCTGGGCTGGAAGATAGCTGCTAGGAGCTCGCGTCCCAGCCCTGCCTCTCACTAACTCTGGCATCCTGGGGCAGCCACAGCATTGCTAGCTTGGCATTTCTTTCTGCAAAATGCGTGGTTGAATTAGGTGGCCTGTGAGGTCCTCCCCAGCTCTTGGGAGTTGTGGCTTCATCATCACTGGGCATTCAAGCCATGGCCTGGCAGAGCTGAGGACTAGGGACAAGGATAATCTATGATCCTTTGTCCTGCTACCTGGTTTCCTGGGGTTCTGGGAATTGTTTTAGCCCACTTGGTGGGGGCTGCCCAAATCTTGGGCAGAGGAATCCTGGGGCTGGGCCGGTTGATGTGGCAGAGGAGAGGAAGCAGGGAAGGGAGCAGTGGGAAGAGGGAAGCACTTACAGCAGGAGGAGATGGGCACACTGATGGCCAGGATCACCCAGGCGATGTCCATCTTGCTCAGGCAGATGGTGGCCCTGTGCTGGGGTTTGTCCCCTTCGGCCACATGGGAGATGTTCCCTGCTGTTCCAGGCTTCCAGGTTCCGGCGGGGACCAGGCGGTTGAGGAAGTTCCCTGTGGCTGTGGACACCACTGTGGAGAGAGGACTGGGCACCCTGTCGGTCATGGGGAGGGTGGCCACAGCCTCCTCCCTGGCTCGAGAAACAGTGCTTTCTGAGACCCCGGGGGGGTGGGCTGGAGCCCACAGGGTCGTGGATGCTCCCTGAGGAATCCCCTGGGAAGGGGCTGAGACACTGGCATCGAAGGCAGCCCGGGTGGGCCCCGTGGCAGCTGTGAAGGCCCCAGCACTGGCAGACAGAGGGCTGCTGGTGCTAGGGGTGACAGTAGGCCATGAGTCACTGGGGCTGGGGCTGCCCTGAGGGTGGTCACGGGGGCGCTGAGAAGGCACTGGGTCAGGTCGTGGACTGGCAGGGGCACCTGAGGCTGCTGTGGTGTCCAGTTCCCCTCCTTGGCTGGTGACAGTGGAACCACCCCCTGGGGCTGCTCTGTGAAGGCCTGGCTTGTCCTCTGCAGGCACCAGGGTGGTGGGGGGTGGTGCCCACGAGGTACTGCTGGGTGCCGTGGTTGCGATCACTGTCCGGGGCTGCGGTGAAGAGGAGTAGCCCCAGAGCGGGGTCCTGGGGGTGAGGGCAGAGGGCTCTGGCTCCACGGACCCTGTGAAGTTGCCCTTGTAGATCTGAAAGATTTTCCCCAGGGGCCGCTTCTGCCCTAGATGCGTGGAGCTCTGATTTCGTGCCCGCTGGCCTTCCTTCCTGCCAGAGTGGCCACCGGGGGCTGGTGGGACAGGGCGAGATGAACTCCCAGCCCCCTTTCGGGAAGAGCCGGGGGGCCTGGGGGGCCTGCGCGTGGCAGCCCTTGGGTGTGTTGTGGTGGGGCGGCTGGTGGCTCCCGATGGTTTTGCCAGCAGGATGGTGGGGGTGGCCTCTCCTGGCGGGCGGCCCTCTGAGCGGGAGGATGTGGTTGTCAGGGCAGCTGGAGGGGGGCCCGTGGGCAGGGGGCTTTCAGAACGGAGGGTGGTTGCTGTTGCCACGGTGGTGGAGAGGGAGTCTGTAGGAGGGTGCCCATCTGGACGGGGTGTCGTTGTTGCCATGGGAGCAGTGGCCTGTGCGGAGGGTCCATCGGGATAGGGGGTCAGCGTCGCCACGGAGGAGTGTCTGGTAGAGCTGTGGGGTGCTGTCGCCATGGTGCCTGGGGGAGTGCCTGAGGGGAGGACCTGAAGAGATTCCCTGGGAGATGGTTCCTGGATGGCAAATGCCAGAGCTTCGGTCAGTGCCAAGATCAGGAGGAAGCCTTGAGAGGGAGAAGAGAGAACAGATGAAATACCTGGGGAGCAGCTTGTAGCTTGGGCCTTCCTTACCCATGACCTTGGGAAGCCCTGGGAACTCCCGAGGTCCATGCTGGAGCTGAACGCTCAGTTGGAAAGAACCATACGTGGAGCTGGGGCAGATCTGTCTGTCAGGTGGGTGCTACCCAACACCTGTCGGGGAGAGAAACCAGCACAGGGGAAGGAAGCAGAGCAGCTACCCAGCCAGCCAGCCTGTCCTTTCCCGCATGCCCCTGAAGTGCTGACAACCCCCCCCTCCTGCCCCCCCAGGGCAGCTTCTCAGAACGGGCTGGAGCTGGGCGTGCAGAAATAGGCTCGTGGCCTCCACATCTGCCTCTTCTTTTGCAGCCATGGAGCGGCCAAGGCCACCTTGCCCATAGGGAAGCCTGCAGCTTTGTGTGAGCCACCAGAGCTGACCAACCCCTGTGCCCTTTTCTGAATTTCCCGTCTATAAACCGGACAGAGGTGCAAGTGGACAGAGGTGCAAGTGGCCTGTTCCTTCAGGCCCATTCACCAAACAATTAGAGAGGATCTACCCTCTCCTTGACCTTGGAGGACACAAAAATGAACAGGCCAATCTCCAGCCGTGCACGAGCTTGCACACATCCACAAACAATCCTAAAATAAGACACAGATGTCTCAGTGCCATAGGAGAGTGACAGGCAGGAGGGGACAGGGGTCCAGAGAAGGGCAACCAGATCTGGAGCCCAAAATGCACTTAGCACAGTCTGGAAGGGGAGATGCAACCTGTAAACACCAGCTGGTATTATGTCATTATTATCACCTGCTTTTCCTATGCCACTCATGCGGCTGAACTCTCTGTGGAAAGTCGTCATTGGTGATACCTAGCCTTTTTAGTAGAAAGAGCCCTTTTGAACATGAAAAAACATGGATTTTGCATGATAGTTAAGTGTGTACTTTTAGTTCATTGAGAAAATGCACAAGGACAAAAGCCTCTAAGTTTTAATACATTTCTAAATATGCATGGATTTTATTAATCACAACAGCGGGTGCCTATATTGAAAAACAGTGCCTCATACAAACATGAGATGTAGGCTGTATTCAGATTGTAGACTGTAAGACTGGGTGTTTCCTGACAACATGTGAGTTGGGAAGAGCTGGTCTCTATAGGTGAGATGAGCCAGACTAAGGCCTGATTCTGAGCCGTAAACGCCTCCTTGTTCACACAAACCCCCTTGTCAGTCTCAGGCCTTTCCTTCAGCCTGCTCCGGGCCCCCAGACTATACATAGAGAGCTCTGGCTCCATCTGATAACACTCTCAGAGCCTCTGGCCCTGTCAGATTCCAGCAGGACAAAGGCCCAAGGCAGGGGCCCTGGCTGTGATGTGCATGTGTCTGATGGGGAAGGCAAGGGCCGGGGGAGATTCTGGGAAGCAGAGAGAGGGAAATCTCCTGGTGGCCTTTGACACAAGGCCCAGGAGAGGATCACATTAGGTGTGTGGCAGGGCTGTGGGGTGGACAAGTGTCCCCCTTACCCTGCACTTCCAAATAGTAGGTGGGAGGAAGGGGAGGGACTTCAGATTTTTGTTTTGTTTTGTTGTTACTTTTTTTTTTTGAGACAGAGTCTCACTCTCTTGCCTGGGTTAGAGTGCTGTGGCGTCAGCCTAGCTCACAGCAACCTCAAACTCCTGGGCTCAAGCAATCCTCCTGCCTCAGTCTCCCAAGTAGCTGGGACTACAGGCATGTGCCACCATGCCCGGCTAATTTTTTCTATATATTTTTAGTTGGCCAGTTAATTTCTTTCTATTTTTAGTAGAGATGGGGTCTCACTCTTGCTCAGGCTGGTTTCGAACTTCTGACCTTGAGTGATCTGCTGGCCTCGGCCTCCCAGAGTGCTAGGATTACAGGTGTGAGCCACCCTGCCTGGCCGGGACTTCAGATTGAACAGAGGCAGTAGTACCCACCACCACTAGGACCAATGATTTCCTCTAAAGAACCTCTTTTTTCTAAGTTTGCATTCACAATCTAAACCATATATCAACAGTATCTGCTTATTCCAATCAATCCTAAAGACTGTTCACTGAATACCTGCTGTATGTAGCCCAGGCATTCATGCTCAATTTAATCCTCAGGATCACTCAGTGGTGTAGCACATTGAGGTTCAGGGAGATTAGATAACATGCAGAAAGTCACACTGTAGCAAAAGTATGTGAGACCAGGGCTGTTCCTAAAATGCACGCTTTTTCTGGTCAACCACCATCAATGGTGCAGAAGGAGGAAGAAGAGCAGTAAGTTGCCTCCACAGAAGAAACCATGTGCTGCTGTGCTCTGCAGTCAGCGGTTGGGCCAGCTCCCTGCCGCAGCTTAATACTACAGGGACAATCTATTCTTAGGGCTGCTGCTGGTGACTTCCAGTGTTTTGAGGAACATTCCCTTCTAAGTCTCTGTTTGGCTCACAAGTGCCTTGGTCAATATAAGTGTTGTTAGGGACTGAATTGAGCTCCCTCAAACTCCTATGTTGGAGCTCCAACCCCTAGTACCTCAGAATATGACTGTATTTGGAGGTAAGAACTTCAAAGAGGTGATTACAGTAAGACAAGGCCAATAGGGTGGGCCTTAACCCAATCTGACTGGTGTTCTCAGAAGAGGACATCAGGACATACAGGACATACTCTGGGGCGTGTATACACAGGCACAACCACACGGAGACGAAGCAGCAAGAGCATGCTGCTGCAAGCCAAGGAGAGGGCCCAGGGGAATCCTTCCTTCCTGGCACCTTGATCTTGGACTTCCCAGGATGCATAACTGTGAGAAATGGGTTTTAAGCCACCCAGCCTGTGGTACTCTGTTATGGCAGCCCTAACAAACGATACACATGTCTTATAGTAGAGATAATCCGAAAAAGGAGGGAGGGAGACAGGGCTTTTGTACAGGTGGTTTATAGTGGGAAGTGATCCAAAAGGTCAGCTGTGGGGGCCTGAGATGAGTGGAACAGGGAAACCAATTTGCTCATAGCAGGACAGGTTATGAGCTGCTGCAGGTAGGCACCTCCAACTCCCATGGACCTCCCAGGAGCTGAGCAGGCTGTACCTCGAATTGCCTGAAAGGGGCACTTATGCAGAGGCTCCCATCCCTAATGGTCAGGGGCTGCCCCCTGGGTGCTCACCCCACTACCTTTCCTGGCTGCCAGGAGTAGTGCTTGGTTGGCCAGAGAAGCCCTGGGCCAAGGGGCTGCCTGCCTGTGCCCAGCTGGTGGCAGCTGCAACAGCTGGAGTTAAAATTAAGGGCCCAGGGATTCCTGGGGTTGAGCAGCAGATTGTCAGATACAGTCAGAGACTGGAGACCAAGGACACAGCAATCCTTTGGCAGCAACATCAAGAGCAACACAAAGCTTTAGGAGAGACACTGACTGACCGCAGGGACAGGCCCTTGGGTGGGAGCTACCCCAGCCTCTAGGAGAACTTCCGCAGCACTCTAGAGGCAGAGGGGTTAGTACAGACTGGTCTTTAAAATACACAGGGAAAGAAATTCCTCTGACTTTCCCATCATCAGAACTCCAGGGGCTAATGCTCCCAGCCAGGAAGTCTATGACCAGAATCCTCGGTGCAGTAAGACGTACAGTGTAAGTAAATATGTTTGTCCTGCTGCTGCTTTCTTTGTTTGTTGGTTTAGTTGCCAGCATCCCCTGAAGTTATTTTTGTCTCTAGGAGGGCTGTAGAGTTACCTCTCAGCCCTTTCCTCTCAGACTTCAGAGCAGATCTTTGGTATGATGCATGGGCACTGCCATCCTGGGTTCCAAGGGTTTTCACCTGGAGGGTGACATTTAGATGCCACAAGGAGAGGGGACCTAGAGCTCATCTAATCATAATCCCCTTATTTCATAGGGGGGCAATGGAAGAAGGGAAGTGACTTGCCTAAGAACCCTCAGCTAGTTGGGGACACAGCCTGGACCACAGCCATTATTTCAAAGCAACTTTTCATTTTTCTCATAAAAATCACTACAATGCGGCACCATCTAAACACCACCTTCAATTTCTACTGTCACCTTCAATATGGGAATCAGACGAGTTTACCTCTCCTCTTTCGCACAAAAGGTTAACAACTGAATGTGATGCATACTGTCACAATAAACACGCAAGGCCTTCAACCCAGGGCTTCCCTAATATGCAAATGTTCATTCAAAGCTCTTTGTGCTGGCCTGCACATTCCCCCTCCCCACAATCTGGGGCTCCTGCCTCTTTGCATATTATTTGCATTGATTTGCATAATGGACTCTGGAGCCTCTAATTCCAAATATGTAAGAGAGACTAAAACTAAAATCTAGCTTGACGAGCTTGAAGTATGGAACCGATTTTTAAAACATGCTGGAATAAAGACAAGCGTGTATGTGGAGTGGAAACCCACAGATTGATGGGTGCCCAGATGTCACGGGAAGGCCGCCTCCTACCAAAATTCCAATGCATACGTGATCCCAAGACCCGAGGGAAGGAAAGGCCCTCCTGCTTCTGTGTATTTGGTTGGCTGCCCACAGTCCATATTGGGCATGACATCTACATCTGGCAAAGGCGAGGAGGGAATTGGTGAAGGGAGAAATAGCTAATATGTACCATGAACTGCTGGAAGGGCTAAGCCTGTGCTGACATATTTAATCCTCATAGCAATCTGATGAGGCAAGTACTGTTATTAGCTCCCTGCTGCAGTTGAGGAAGAGAAGCACAGAGAAGTACAGGAACCTGCCCATGGTCACACAGCTGGGGAATGGCAAGCTTCCATCTGATCCCTGGCGGCTTGGCTCCAGAGTCTACACTCTCAGCACTTCACTCATTGCTCTGCTCTGCCCAACCTCCCAGGATGCTCTGCACATTCAAAAGCAGTGATTCACAGCTTTGGGGAATTGATTTTTCTATTGTTCTTTTCTTGACTTTTCTTCTCTCATACATGTTTTCTTCTATTGCTATTCCAGGGCTCTGTATGACACATCTGATGTTCTTTCAACAATTTAGTTAACTTCATTTTGCAAGTAACTGGGGGGAGCTTGCAGCAGTACAATAAAAGAACTGAAAAACCCTGCTTTAATTCTCTCCTCTTCCTCAATCCTGACAGCTCATGCACACCATTGTTTGAGAGAAGAAAAATTATATATATAAAGTTTCTTCTAAAATTGCTTACACACACACACACGATATACTTGTTACTGGATAATTTGTATAAACAGAATTTTATTTCATTTCCTAGTGATTTTAAATATCATCTTCTTATAAGTAGGTCTTCCTTCCCCATTAATCTAGGTTTCTCCTGTAAGATATTTTGCCCATTGCCATTTTAAACCCTTGTGACAATTAATCACAGGAGTCTGAGAAGTCTTCTGAGCCATCCTCTGCCACTAAGCAAGGTGGCAGCTGGGCCATCCCAGATGCCTGGTGTGTGATTTAAAATTGTTTCTGTAAGTTCTCCAATACTCCTCCCACCAAGAGGGAGAGTCTATTTCCCCATCCTCTGTACGTAGTGGGGCTTTGTGACTGCCTTGATGAACACAATGAAGCAAAGGTGATACCACATGCCTTCCCAGGGCAGAAAAGATCATGCAGTTTCTGCAGGTTTCTCTTGGAGGCTTTTGGCTCCCATGTAGAAATGCCAGCTCCCTTGAGGAGGCCCCATGGAGAGACCTCATGGTGAGAGACGGGAGCACCTGAGCAGCTGTCCCAGCCCCAGCCAGGCACTAGACACGAGAGTAAACAATCCTCCAATATGACCCCGGCCCTGGGCACTATTTGATGGAAAGCACACAAGAGACTCCAAGTGAGAGCCACCTAGCTGAGCCCAGTTGACCTTAAGATTTGTGAGCAAAATAAATTATTTTAACTGCTTTATGCCACTGTTTTTGTTCCTTGAGTTTTTTTTTTAATCCATAGATAACTGAAACCCTTAGGAATTTATCTTCTGCATCTGATATCTCAACAACAAAAGGAAAGAGTATTTACAGCATACCAAATGTGGCCATCAAGTCTGTTTTCTACATGGGCAATAACATACAACCATAGCTTTTCTAATTTCAAGATTATTGCTCTTCAATTGGAAGGGATGCTAGGACTCTTGGTATCTAACTTGTTCACTTTACAGATGAGAAGGCTGAGGCCCAACAAAGTGAAATGGCTTATCCTGGCCACACAGATACATAGGGTTAGGGACAAGGAGGGACCCAGGCCAACTCATTGCCCAGCTAATCCAACTGATGTTTCAAACTCAGTGTTCTTTTTATATTCACTGTGACTTCAGTATTCTAATGTGCTTCATCCTCTGAACTTCAATGATTTCTTTTATTTTAAAGATCAAATATAAACTCCTAATCACTTGGAACATGGTTTCCCTTAATCAGAAATAAATACGCATCATTGACTTCAGGGTGAGCTGGGTGACTAATTTTAAGAGGCAACCCATGCCTGTGGCCTTGCTTCTTTAGGAAACCAAGGAGTTTGGGGTGCAACTCTTTGCTGTTTTCCTTCCTACAGGCTGCCACATTTCAAATGTTCCCTCTTACCAAGTTCTGCTGGAGACACGTCTCGTATCACAGGGCTGCAGGACGGAAGGTTCAGGTCAGTGCTTTGAACTAACTGTGATCATCACCCGGTGGGTTTCAGAAATGTCTGAGATGACTGGTTCCACAGCTAGACCGACAAGGTCCATGACTTCACTGGGAATCATTTCCCAGAATATAATCTCCTGAACATGTGCCAGCAAGAAAGCCATGTGAGATGGGCCTGTGTGCCCCAGACACACCTATGGCCTCCAGCCAACATGCATTCGCCTTGTGCTGGAGGCTGACAGATCAGATCTTCCTAATGAAAGCATGTACAGACATGTGAACACACACGCATGTGTGCTCACATATATATATACACTGACACAGAGCACAGGTCCTTTCCTGGAATTAAGAAACAGGCAAGAATGATAAATTTGCAGCTTGGGTCCCCCCCATCATTTTCATGCTAACATATGGTTAAGTCATTTGTCCAAGGTCAAAAGGACTGCTGTGTAGCAGTACCAGGATTTAAAGCTAGGTTTCTCTGACCCTGGCTGCCCAAGAGACCCTGGAGACTGAGAAGCCAGCTGCCATGCTTCCTCCTCAGAAGCCTACGTAGCCCAGGGAAGGGCCCATGTGGAAAGGAACTGAGGCTCCTGGCCTTTAGTCCTAGCTGAACTTCCAGATGACAGGCAGTACCAACGTGTTAGCTGTGCGAGTGAGCCATCTAGAAAGTGGATAGATCTTCCAGCCCATCAACAAGAAGCATTTACATAACATTTTCTTTTTAAGAGGCAGGGTCTTGCTCTGTTGCCCAGGCTGGAGCATAGTGGCATCATTACATCGTTATAGCTCACTGCAACTTCGAACTCCTGGGCTCAAACAATCTTCTTGCCTCAGCCTCCCTAGTAGCTGGGACTACAGGCATGCACCACCATGCCTAGCTAATTTTTAAAAATATTTTTTGTAGAGATAGGGTCTCGCTATGTTGTTCCAGTTGGTCTTGAACTCCTGGCCTCAAGTGATCCTCCCACCTTGGCCCCCCAAAGTGCTGGGGTTACAGGCATGAGCCACCACGCCAGGCTGATTATTATTGATTTTAGGCTATAAATTTTGGTGTAGTTTGTTAGGCAGCAGCAGTAACTAGAATATCGCCCATATAGAAGTGAAATCAAAGCTCTTTCAGTGACTATTTTGGATTTAGACATCAGGGGTTTTTTTTTTTAGTGCTGGAGCTCAGCAGTCTGATTTTGACTTGGGTTTCCTTATTGTCCTTTCCTGACCAGACTCAGGGAAAGAAAAACACCCCAATTCCAGGCCCTTCCTATAGCATGATGATTTCTCTGATTGACAGCCACAGGTTCACCCCCAGGAAGAAAGGAACGCATGCAAGCTAAGATGGCCATGAAGCTTCCTGGCACACACTTTATGGGCTTGGGGAACAGATGGGATAGAGCTGGAGGCTGGGCCATGGTGCCAGCGTATCGAGGACATGGCCATTGCCCTCAAGGAGCTGCTATTCTAGGCTATTCTAGAAGGGAATAAAGTCAGCTGTGGCAGGGGCACAAACTCACACACTAAGTTCTCTCAAAGACTTTTCCAAAACAAAAATGAGAGTCAGAATTAGACAGATGAAAAGGTCAACTCAGCCTCTAATAAAATAACAGAGTCATTAATATTCAGGGAATATCTCTCTGACATCATGGGAAAGAACACAAATGCACCAGTTCAGACTGCCTTGTACCCTCCTAAACTAAAAAGAGGCGGCTCATAAAAAGTGCTGCATGTTTTATAGTAGAGAACCTGACAAACACTGTGCTAGCCAGGTGATCAAGGGAAGCACCAACAGGGATACAGTCATGTTGATACTATGTCCCTTGGCATGAGAATGGTACTTTATTTCTGCAGTTCTTCCCTCTCCCCTCAAACCTATAACCCCAGTATAATCATAAGAAAAACATCAGAAAAACCCCAGTTGAGGGACATTTAGACATCAAAAGGTCATCAAAAATCAGGAAAGTCTGAGAAACTGTTACAGCCCAGAGGAGTCTAAGGAGACACGATGACTAAATGCAAAGTGGTACCCTGGATGAGACCCTAGAACAGGTAAAAAGGACATTAAGCTAAACTGAGGGGAATCTGAATAAAGTATATACTCCAGTAAGAATAATGTATCAATATTGGCTCATTAATTGCGACAAATGTACCACAGTAATGTAAGATATTAATAACAAAGGAAACTGGGTACAAAGTATCTAGGTATCAAGGCATCTCTGTATTACCTTTGTAGCTTTTCTATATATTTAACAAATCTACTCTAAAATTTAAAACAATATTTTCAGAAAAAGGCCCACCCAGGACAGACAGCAAGGACAACGTGGAGGCTATCCCGCGGGGTGGGTTCTAGAAGGCGCATGACTGAAGTGGGGTTTGTAGACAACTTTCCCAGCAACCTGCATGAGACCATGTGTCCATAGGTGGGGACATACAGATGGCAGTTGGTGGGGGGGGGGGATAAGGCCTTTCCTTTCCTCTTGCCAGCTTCGGCCTCAGGTCTCTCTTAATCTAGTGGGTAGGTTCTGATCCAATGTATCCACTGATGTGTTTTGAAGCCTACTTAGAGAGAGAGAGAGGAGGGAAGATTCCATGACTGGCACTGCATCTGTCTATATTCCCCCGATTCTCGCCTTTTTAGTATTCTCATTCAAAGTGTGGACTTTGGAGGTGAAATGGTCAGGGAGACTAATAACAGCCTGAACACAGTTTTTAACCTGTTCAAATCTGGTTGAGGAATCAGAGTAAATGCCACCCATGTAATATAAACAGCTGCCACTTTCTTGACCAAGCTGGCTGAGTGAAAATCAAAGCCTATTCATTGTTATCATAGAGGTATATTGCCCTGTGTTTCAACATGGAGGCCATATAAAGTGTTGGACGTGGACACCTCCATCCATCCTAAATTTCTGCCCATACTCCTTTCCTGCTAGGTGACGACGCATTCATCTGCAAAATCCAACTTCACTGACACCTAGTCTTGGCAGAGTCAAGGTCCTGCAGACGGTGGCTCCCTGCCCAGTGCTCCTAGGGTACTCTGTCCCCAATCATATTGTGACTCTTCTCCCCAGAGACCTTCAATAGAGGACACAGTGGGAAGGCCACGGACCTGGGGTCAGGGGGATTTGGGTTCAATCCTGGTTCTGTAAGTTCCTAGCTGTGGACTTCAGGCAAATGAGCTAAGCTTTGTTTTTCTCAGCTGTATAATATAACAGTGCCTTACTGCAGGGTGCTTTCAGGAGTGGGAATAAGATGAAGATGCATGGAGGGCCCCACACGGTGCCTGGCATTCAACGGGTGGTAGCTCTCATTTTAGTTTCTAAACTAAACTTATAGGACACTCCCCTGGGGCTGTGAGCCTTTTGAGTTGAGCCGTCTGGAGCCCCAGAACTTAGTTCACCACCTGACGCATAACGAGAGCACAGTAATGCTTTTCAGACAACGTGAGAATGAAAGAGTACTTAAATAATTCTGCACACTCGCGTTATTGGCAGCTGAATGCTCACCACAAAATTAGAGAGGTTTGTTTCTTTGAGGACAGTGTCAACGGAAGAAAGCGGTAAATAATGTCGATTCTGTGACACAACAGTTCAGGGTGTGCGTGTGTGTGCACGTGTGTATTTATCTTGTTTTTCCTTTGCTTGTTTCAGCTATTATCATTAATTGCTTCAAGCAAGCACATATCCCACAAGCCAGAGGCAAGAGAAGGGTGAGCTGGAAGCCGCTTGCTGCAGATCTGCTCTGGACACCCTCTCCTGTAGTTGCCCCCACTGTGGTGAGCGCCACTTCTTACTACCTAAGCCTCCCGCCTGCGTTTCTTTCCAAAGTTCTAATGGGTGGCGTGAGAGCGTTTCCAAGATTTGGATTTACAGAGACAAGTCCCAGGTTTTGCTGGTTCAGACTTATGCTTTCGGAAAGTTTTGATGGGAACAGTAGGAAGTAGGACAAAGTGGAGGAGTTTTTGCTGGGGGGCGGCTGATAGGGCAGCCCCAAGACAGGACAGGCCCATGTGTTGTCTCCAGAACGCCTGGCTCCTGTAAACCCAACATGCAATCCCAGAGCCTGCAGCCCACAGTTTGGGGTATGACCCAACAGGCTCCTCAGAGAGCCTAACAGGACCTTTGGGACTGCCAGGGAACCCCGTGGGGAGTCCAGGGACCTGCCCAAAGAGGCTGAGGTACCTGACTTGAACACAGCAGCGTCTGTGTACAACTAGCCATACAATCTCTAAAGCCAGAGGAGAAGAAAAAGATACAAAGTCCTGTCCTGATCATGCCTGAGAATTACTTCCTAAAAAGAGCACTGGGGGCTTTTGACCTGACATCCTCCTGGGTGTGCTGACAGTGTAAAGTGTCCTCTCAGCACAAAACAGCTTGCTGAGGAGGGAGGAGAAGAGGCTGCAGCTAGTGGCTAGCAGGGAGGACAGTGAAGGGGGAGGGGGGGAGAGGGCAGGGCAGAGCCCACTGGGGAGGGGCTCATCTCCAAGAAGGGGTCTGCTCCCGACTCCTGAGCCCCTGTGGCTTCCTCTGTAGAGTCCTGAAAGGCTGCTTGGTATTCTCGCTGGCTTCCTGGCGGGTGGCTGCAGGGCTGTCTGGCCCCGCTCTCCTCGGTTGCCAAAGGTTCACTGCCTGCTCCAGTTTGCCTGGAACAAAATAGCTCAGGCAACACAGCTGTGCATCCTTGTGAAATTGCCTAATTTCCCATTTCAAGGCAGGCTGCCCATACCCCAAGGTATAATTTAGGTTTCGGGCATGAGTTGGATTTCACAATTGAATTCTGAAACTCAGTCCTCTAGCCAGGCGTCCTCAAACTACGGCCTGCGGGCCACATGCAGCCCACCGAGGATATTTACCTGGCCCGCCCGGTGTTTTTGACGCCACTGCCTGTCCTGCTTAGCAGCTGACTCGCCCCGGGCCCACAGTGCGCATGTGTGGAATGTGCGCCGCACTCTCCAACGGCCCTCCAATGGTCTGAGGGACAGTGAACTGGCCCCCTGTTTAAAAAGTTTGAGGACCCCTGTCTAGGCGGTACATGCTTTTCCTCCCCTGCCCCCTCCTCCACTATCCACCCCTCCCCACTATCAGTACTGATACTCCCACAAATGCTAAATTTCCACTTACTTAGCACCTACTATGTGCCACACACTGTACTAAGCAATCTCTGTATAGCATCTTAATCTTCACAAACCCTATGATGCAGAAAAGAACAAACCTTCACCCATATCCTCACAGGACCTTTATGATTATAAGGTACCCAAACTCCACCTCTTTATTATTCTCTTTTGGGTATAGATCTGCGGATTTAGGTACCTGTGTGATTAACTGTGAATTTGAAGATAGCTTTCTGGTGAAAAAACAAATAAGACCATCTTGTCCACATAAAACAGGGGAACAAAAACGACATACACAGAACAAGGAGAGAACAATGGAAGAGGATCTATAATTCAGGACCATGTTAGATGGAATAGATTTTAGTGTAGCAGCTTGTCAGGGAGCCTAAGAAAGCTGGAGGAACCCAGGAAGGCTTCCTGGAGGAGAGGAAAGCTGAGTCCTTCTATTACCACTCTGTCATTTGTTCATTTCTTCATTCACATATTCAACAAACATTTATTGAAGGCTGAGTGTGGCTTTGTGTTTCCAAGATAAATTAATATCCTGATTTCAGCCAGGGAGGTGGCTGTTATTACCTCGTTTCCCACCATGAGCAATAAAATGCATATTGGCAGGGAAAATTCTGGCAAATTCTGAAAAAGGTAAGTTTATCCATGGGCAGAAAATCTTTACAGTGTGCTATGTTCAGAATAGGAACATACATTTAAAAAGCATCTACTATACTTGTAAGTATTTTACTCCTGCAAACTGATTTCACACAGCAACTTTTGTGAGGTGAGTCTCATTCCCTAAAACCGAGATTCAGAGATGTTAAGAGATTTATTCAAGGTGGAGCTATGATGCACACCTAAGTACATTCATATTTTTCTCTCCTCTCTTTTCCTCTTTCTATTTTCAGCCATAGGTGCTGCCAGCTGCAAACTCCTTTAGTAGTAATGCTTGATTACTTCTGCTTCTGGTGAGCTCAGCACCTGATCAAAAGGCTCCTGGCTTCAGCAGTCCTCGGAGAAGAAAAAAGGATGACCTTGCAGAGTCAGGCTTTCCAGGGCCGTTCCATTCTGGTCTGACCTCCACTCTAGGCACTAGTTCAAACCCTGCTTCTGAGATGAACCCAAGAAAATAAGATCAGGGTAAAAACTGGAGCACATCCCTTGAAAAACCGTAACCTCCAGGATAAGCCTGAAGGTGGCATGAGCTTAAAAGAGCTTGCTTGACTTTGTCGTTCTGTGTCTGAGTTGTTTCACTTAAGATAATGGCCTCTAGTTCCATCCATGTTGCTGCAAAAGACATGATTTCATTCTTTTTGACAGTTGAATAGTATTCCATTGTATATGTGTGTGTGTGTGTGTGTATATATATATATATATATATATATATATATATACACATACACCCCATATTTTCTTTAACCAATCTTCTGTTGATAGACACTTTGGTTGATTCCACATCTTTGCTATTGTGAATAGTGCTGCAACCAACTTGCAGACACACCCTCCTCAGTAATAGAAGGGTAGCTGCCCTATCTCCTAGGTAGGAGGAGGAGGGAAAGGGATTCCTTGCTTCTGAGATTTGCTTAGCTGGTCCTCCCTTACCCAGCCATAGCTCCCAACAACCCAGATACTCAAGGCACATCGATAACACCCCTCCCCCCCAATGTATATCCTGTGTCCTCTTTCTTCTCTTTCCTAAGGAGTGTGGAGAGAAAACACTGGAATCAGAACTAGGTATAAATCCACTCACTAGCTCTATTACCTGGTGTCAGTTTCCCAGATAAGCTAGCTAGGTTGGGATTCTGTCCAGTGCTTTCCATTCACCATGGTGTCTTCTCTTTGGTTCTTTTAGATTTTGCATTGAGCTGACACAATGGACGCTGCCCCTGCTGTCCGTCACCTGGCTTCCTCCCCCAACCCCCCGACAACGAGGCTCTCCTTCCATAGCCACTGGAGTGTTGGCAGCTGAGGGTACATGGCTGAGCTTGCCTCCAGGAATGGCCCTGGGATGAAGAGAGCTGCCTTGCTCAAGGTTACACCCCCTTCCTGGGAAACCTGTATCCAAGGACTGGTTTGTGTGGGGTTAAAAGTACTGCAGGTGACTTAAAAGAGCTTGCTTGACTCAGTTTGGGAGGACTGTGAAGGGCCATCCCAGCTTCAGAGTTCCCCATAGAACTCCTTGGCTAAGGCCTTGGTGTGACTGCAACTTCTCCCCCTGCCTAACCCTGCCTTCCTTACTCTCCTAAAGGTGTTGATTTTGGGAGCAATTCTGGGACCAAAACCTCCTATATGCAAATTTCCAGTTCTAGTCTGCTTCCTGGGAACCAGGTCTGCAGCAGATGGTATGCAATCAATGCTTATGGTGAGAGGATGGTTATTCCTTTTTGTCTTACTCTCCTGGATTCCTTCCATCTCATTCAGCACCCCTTCAAAGATTCACCCCCTTTACCCTAGGCTTCCTTGATGTACCCCTTCCTAGTTCTGGTTGCCCTAATCATAAATGCCACGCTAACAGATGGTATGCAAGGCTTTTATTCTTGCCATTGTGTATTTTCTCACATCTTTCCATTAGCCTGGAAACTCCTTATGAATAGGCAATTTCAAATTTAATTTTAAAATATTCCTTCTCACCCAGTCATATATAGTGATGGTTGGTGGCACTTAATCCTACTGGCTAAACACGCTTGACAAATTCCTTATTGCTGCCCCACCTTCCTCTCTTACTATTTAATTCAGTCAGCACACACTGGCTGTCCTGTCTGAGCTAGAAACTGTGCTATGGGGACACACAAAGAAATGTTCTCTCCCTACCATCCAGGGACTGGTAAAGGGGGTGAGCCCAGGCTGGACTGCCAAGGTTCAAACCTCCCTCTCCCACTCAGTGATCCGGAGCAAGTTATTTAAGTTCTCCAAGCCTTAGTTTCCTTATCTTTAAAATGGGAATAATAAGAGTATTATTATTATAATCCTATTATCATCCACCTCATAGGATTTATTATTTATTAATTTTTTTATTGTGAGGATTAAAGGAGGTACACTGTAAGCATTATTTAAGTCTGCATTGTCCACTATAGTAGCCACTAGCCACATGCAGCTACTGAGCACTCTAAATGTAGTTACATGCTGTGAGTATAAAATGCATACTGAATTTCCTCCGCCACTTTTAGAAATTTGTATATATTCATGGGGTACAAGTACAATTTACTATTAAATACATTGATACATTACATCGTGGTAAAGTCAGGGCCTTCAGCATATCCACCAATGAAGTAATGCGCATGGTACCCACTAAGCAACCTTCCATCATCCAACCCCCTCTCACTCCCCAACCCCTGCAAATCTCCATCATCCATCATTCCATACTCTTTGTCCATGTATACCTAGTATTTGGCTCCCACTTGTGAGAACGTGTTATTTGTCGTTCTGTGTCTGAGTTGTTTCACTTAAGATAATGGCCTCTAGTTCCATCCATGTTGCTGCAAAAGACATGATTTCATTCTTTTTGACAGTTGAATAGTATTCCATTGTGTATGTGTGTGTGTGTGTATATATATACATATATATATACATTTTCTTTAACCAATCTTCTGTTGATAGACACTTTGGTTGATTCCACATCTTTGCTATTGTGAATAGTGCTGCAATAAACATATGAGTGCAGGTATCTTTTTATATATTGATTTATTTTCCTTTTTGAACAGCTAGGACTACAGGTGCATGCCGCCATGCCTGGCTAATGAAAACAATTTATTTTTTGAGTGGAGATGGGGTCTTGCTATGCTGCCCAGGCTGGTCTCGAGCTTTTGGCCTCAAGTGATCTTCCCACCTTGGCCTCCTAAAGTTCTAGGATTATAGGCATTAGCCACCATGCATGGGTGGGGAGTGGGCTCTGTGGCTAGTGAGTGCATCGGAGGAGGCTTCCTGGAGGTGAAAGAAGAGACGGGCAGTAGTGGGCAGGTGAGACATGTTCCTTTACTGTTGGGGGAAATGCACCCACAGTGAAAGCATGGCCGAGAACATGGCGAGTACTTACATATGGCTCCGAACAATAGTGGCAACATGCCATGGGAAAGCGTGATCACATGGGTTCACACAGGAGATAACACCTTGGGTGCACAACCGTGCTGACTCATGCCTCCCTGGAAGGCCGGCGGAAGACATGCTGGCAATTACTTTAGTTTGGCCTAAGAAACCTACTGCCCATACAAATGAATTTCCCTTACAGCATGGCCTCCAATTTTGAAAATTAGTATAAAAAATATAGAATGTTCCATTAATGACTTTTTGTATTGATTATCTGTTGAAATGATAATATTTTAGATATGTTGGGCTAAATATATTCTTAAAATTAATTTCACTTTTTTTTAATGTGGCTACTATACAAATTGAAATTATATGTATGGGTCATATTATAATTTCTATTGGACAGTGCCGATCTAGGTCTTTGCTATAAAAATAATAACGAAAAGCAAAATGTAAGAACTACCACCATAGAGGTACATACACTGCCAGAAGGGCCGCTCTAAGTGTGGACGACCAGCAGCAGCACCACCTGGGAATCTGTTAGGAAGGCAGAGTGTTAGGCCCCCCTTCCAGATTGAATTAGCAACTCTGAAGAAAGGCCCTGCAATCTCTGCTTTAAAAAAAGACTCCAGGTGATTCTGATCTGACCAAAGTTTACAAGGTACTGCCCTAGGGGAGTACAGAGGAATCAGTGACCAGTCTAGGTAGAGGAGGGGACCATGTCATCCACCACACTGGTGACGGAGAAGACGGAGGGCAGGGGAGACCACACAGAAATGGTCCAGGCATTTAGTAAGTTTGACATAAAAATAGTCAGAGGGGCCCACAGCAAATCTCCATCCCACTCGGCTTGGCTCCTCCAGATGCTCTTTTCTGGAAACAATGCCCTCTGGCCTGGTTGGGTCCCCTGCCCTTCGCACCTTTTTCATCTAAAGCGTGCCAAGAACAAATGGAATCTAAATGGTGTGCCTTTAGTGGAATTAATTTGCATTTCTACAGCATGACCTCCATAGGCGTGTGCGCTATTCCCGGTGATGTGCTCACCGCCAGCTGGACGTGGTGCAGACCAGCAGCCCAGGTTCAGAGTAGAGTGCACGAGGAAAGCAGCAAGAGCTCAGCAGCCAGCCCCTGACAGGTGGGTCGGCTTCTAAATAGAGCCACTTCCTGAGAGCACATAAGCCAGGGTTAGGGTTAGCAGTGGCTACAGAGATCCCTTCCTGTTAGGAGAAGGTTCTACACTAACTCTGTGATTTTGCACTTTGGATTTATGGTCTTCATTTTCTTTGGGGCTCCTACCAAATGGATGCCTTCCAGTAGATGAAGCCCAAATTTTGCCGTTGGTCTTCATAGAGAGGGACATGAGTCCAAAGAAGCCTCTGCATTATGGCGTGGGTATGACACATTGTGACTCAAGGGACTTGGTAAGCTCAGGCCCTATTTCTTTCCCTGGGGGAACGGGCCGGGATGGCTGGGAAGAAGGGGCTCCATGGGACATCATCACTGTGGAGGACACTGTGGGTACAGAACAAACCCATCCTCTGACAGAAGCCTGTCTTTGCTCTCTGCCCTCCCCACCCTCTGCCCTCCCCACCCTCTGCCCCAGGTTCCTTTTTATTTAAAGCTTGTGTACTCGCAGCCATCTTTGCTCATAATGACGGTATCACCCCTATGCACTGTGAATTATGCTGCAGAACTTCTGGGCCAGCAGCAAGGTTTCTCTTATACTGTTTTCTGTAAATACGAATAGCCTTGGGTCTGGGGCCCTCATCCCCCCCACAGCAGGAAGGGCGAGCATCACAACATCAGCAGTGACAGCCGCGTCAGGTTTGCTGGCAACAACACTAACAATATTAATTATAGAAGTGATAGTTACAGTGGGGGTGGTGGTTAAGAATGGTCAAATATTCAGCTGTCAGTAGTGCCAAAAGAAAAGACAAAAAAAAGCATAGTCAAATAGATATCATTTATTTGGTCCTACTATGTTCCATGTGGTGCTGTGTTAAGTACTTTCCTACTATCCCAGATTATATTTTCCAAATATGACTGTGCCAAAATAGCTCATCCCACAGGTTCTTTTAATAATGTGATGTTGATTGAGAGGTGGGGTCTGTGTTCCCTCCCCTTGCATCTGGGCAGGCCTGTGACTCTGGCAGAAGTGACTCAATGACTTCCAAGGATAGGCCATGAAAGACAATGTATAATAAGTCCAGGCATCCTGGAGCTACCACACACAGATGGAAGGAGATGCCCAAGGAGTCCCAGCTGTCCAAGCCCCCAGCTGTATGAATCTTCCCAGCAGCAACTGCCAGACATGTGAGTGGGCAAAAACCTTCAGGTGACTTCAGCCTAGTTGAGCTGAGTGAAGCAGAGATGATCTAGCCCCTCTAAATCCTGCCCAAATCGCAGGTTTTCTAACAAAATAAATGGTTTCATTGTTATAAAATGCTAATTTTTGGGCTGGTTTTGTTACACAGTGATAGTAAATGGAACTCCTACATGATGTCATTAATCCACATGGTAATCTTTCAAAGCAGGCATTATGGCTATCTTACAGATGAGGAAATATGCAAGGGGTTAAGTAATTTGCCTGAGATTTCACAGCTGACATGTGGCAGAGTTGAGCTGCAAGCCCAGGACTGTCTTGCTCTGAGCACAGGATCTTGGAGTCACACCTTACCTCGCTTGGCCACTACAACGGGGTCTGTGGCCCTGCCTAAGAATGTCTGTTAGATTACACATGAATTCACATGGACATCTGTAAGCAGAAATGACCACTAGGTCTTTTCATATGTCATCCTTAAAGGTCTGCAGATAAGGCTGATTCCTATGCCTGATATGAAAAGACATTTGACCTTGAAGTGGGAATGGGAACAAAGGATGCTGGTGGCCTTGAACTTGCATGAAGGCTGTGATGTCCTAGAACTCTGGAGGACTTTTAGAGGTTGGCTTGTTTTTTTTTTCTTTTTTAACCATCCATAATATTATTTTTTAAAGAAATATGTTCTAAGAGTCAAAAGGCTTCTTCACTGTCTTTTACTCTGGAGTCCAATTAGTTTGTAGGCTGGAGATAGCCCATTTAGGATAATATTTCAGGGATACAGAAAAGTCAGATATGATGCTTACATTTCACCAGCTGGTACACCCCAAATTACTTGGGGGCTGCACTTGGAATGGGCAAACGGAGAGAATACCATCAGAGACAGTGCACAGTAAGTGGGAGGAATGGTCACCAGCCTCACTTTTGGTGGATGGGATCTTCAACCAGGTGGAGCAGGTTCGTTCCTGCAGAGCTGGTTTCCAGACCAGCTCCCCCAGCTGGCTTGGCTAAACACAGAACAGATGCAGTAAGGGTCTGCTCATTTCTCTCTATTCTTCTGGGGTTTCCACACTTTAGGGCAGACTTATCCTATCTGCAATCATACTGGAGGCCTGACTTGACCCATCTTCTAATTACTGAATATTCCTTCCTCTTTCATTGCTCCTTTTTTAGTGACTCAGGGAGTCATTTGTTCCTTTCTTTTTAAAATTAACTTTATTGATGTATAACTTATATGCAATAAAATTCACCATAAGTGCACATATTGGTGAGTTTTTTTTTCTTTTTAGTAGACAATTAGAGAAAGGAATGTGAGTTTTAACACAAATGTATACACTTTTGTAGCCACTACCATAATCAAGACACAGAACACTTCCACCTCTCCATAAAGTTCCCTTGTGTCTCTTTGTAGTCTAATCTCCCCAGCTCCCACTCCAAGCAAGGGATCTGATTTCTATCACTATAGGTATATTTTTTCTGTTCTAGATTTTCAAGTAAGTGGCATGAAATAGAATCATTTGTGTCTGGCTTTCATTAAGCATAACATCTGTGAAATTTATCCATTTGCCACATGAATCAGTGGTTAATTTCTTTTTATTGCTGTCTAGTATTCCATTACATGGATTTTTTTCCCCTCCCCTAATTTGTATATTTATTCATCTGATGATAAACATTTGGGTTGTTTCCAGTTTAGGGCTATGATGAATAAAGCTGCTGTAAACATTTGTTTACATGTCTTTGTGTGGACATATGTTTTCATTTATCTTGGGTAAATACCTAGAGATGGAACTGCTGGGACATATGGTAAATGTATATTTAACTTTGTTAAAAACTGCCAAACTGTTTCCCAAAGTGGTTAACCATTTTACATTTTTGTCTTAAAATTTAATTATGTTGGTCAACAGGTTGATTAATTGATTGTTTAGGTAATAAAGTATATTGGCATAATCCAAAAGTCATAATGCAGAAAATAAATACAGTGCAATGTCTTTCAGCGCCAACCTACCTGAAGGTGAGCAGTGTTACCAGTTCCTCAAGGACTGAAACATTCACAAGCAAACAATTACCTACCGTTTCCTTCTCTCACTTTTTACACAGATGAGCGTGTCCTGGACATACCTTGCTTTTCTCACTTAACAATATATCTTGGGTATTGTTAAAGAGTCATTTCCCAAAGTGTGTTCTGAGGAACTCTACTCATCACTCTGTACCTATAAGAAAAGGGTTCCCAAATTAACTTGGGAAAATGCTGCGTACTGTGGCTACCTCTTAGAAATTGATAATACACTTCAGCTTATTAAAGCCTCTAAGAATTCCTGGGATCAAAAAATCAGAGCTTCCAAAATTATTTGACTGGAGAATTTTTCTTTGCAGCAATAATGAGAATTCTGCAGAATACTCTCAGAGAAGCACTTATGTAGATGAAGAATGAACAAACTTTTTCTGTAAAGGGCCAGATAGTAAACATTTTAGGCTTGTGGATATGGTCTTGGTTGCAATTACAGTACTCAATTCTGCCATTGTAGGGTGAGAGCAGCTGCAGACAAGATGTAAATGAATGGATGTGGCTGTTTCAATAAAACTTTATTTACAAAAAGTGGTAGCAGATTGTAGTTTGCTAACTCCTGATCCAGAGTATGGCAGGACTTGGAAGGTTTCTGTTAATGTTTTTTTTTTTTATTTTATTTTGGTGAGACAGGATCTCTCTGTCACCCAGACTGGAGTGCAGTAGCATCATCATAGCTCACTGCAACCTCCAACTCCCAGGCTCAAGTAATCCTCCTGGCTCAGTTATCCAAGTAGCTAGGACAGCAGGTATGCATCACCATGATTAGCTAATTTTTAAAAATTATTTCTTGTAGAGATGGGGTCTCACCATGTTGCCCAGGCTAACCTGGAGCTCCTGGCCTCAAGCAATCCTCCCACCTTAGCCTCCCAAAGTGCTGATGTTACAGGTGTGAACCACTGCCCCTGGCCCCCATTAAGCTTTGAAAGTGTTTTCCAAATTAGGGGGAAGGTATCCTGGAGCAAAGGCTGGGGAAAATAAAAACTGCCAAGAACTGAATGAACAACTGCTCAATCTGAAACCACCTGCCTACTCTCTTCTCCTCTCTGTCCCCTCTATCCCCCTCTATGCCCAGAAGGTCCACCTAGAGCACTGGAAAAGGGCATCCATACTTCGCATGGTCATGCTCTATTTGATTAAATAAATGTCCCATGACTAAGTGGAGGCTTTTGGATTCTGGGCTTCAGCACCCCCATCTGTAAGACCACAGATTTCTTTTTTTATTTCAGGGTATTATGAGGGTACAAACATTTTGGTTACATGTTATGACTTTGCCACACTCAAACCATGGTTTGAGGTGTGCCCCTTCCCCTTACAACGCTCACCACTTCCACCAGTTGTGAGTCTACCTGCTCCCAACCCCCAATCCCTAAAGAATATTACTACCATAGTAATAAAAGACATTCTATAATAAAGACATCTGCACTCGAATGTTTATGGCAGCACAATTCACTATTGCAAGGATGTGGAGACAACCCAATTGCCCATCAATCCTGAGTGGATTAATAAAATATGGTATATGTATGCAAAGACCAGCAACTTCTTGACAGATTCCTCCTTCTAGGATTTGATGAAATCTTTGTCCATGTCAGAACCATATGAGGATGAGTGAGCTTGTGGCCAGAAAAGTGCTAGACATATGTAATTCTGGGAGTGAATTTTATAAGTTTTATCATTTAACAGTTGGGCCATAGATATGATAGTTAGCTAAGGAAATTTTAGCTCTTCTGTTTTAAGCACCATATTTCATCAAATATAAGATGCAACACACTATTGTTTTATGTGCCAGTGAGAAAAAAAGCTGCCAATTAAACTACAACACAATGCTTTCTTACATTTACAATTCTTAGTCTATGCTTATTGAAAGAGCTCTCTTAGACATATCTAGACAGTTTTATCATACACCCTGCTGCCTTTAGTTACTGCATATGGTGCATGACTGCCAATTCTTTCACAAAACACCCAGTTTCAAGTGCTTTGTGAGTGTCTTCTTTTCTTTGGTCCCTCTTCTTCTACCCATTCCTATGGAATGGAGACCATCCTTATAATCACGGACATTTGTTCCATAAATAGCAAACTTCTGCCCTGCACTCTGCTTCACCCTTCTGCACACACAACTTTTTGTTTCAATGCTGAGTCACAGCGAATCTCTGTGAAGACTTTTAAAATAGCAGTTAGATACACATAGTGCCAATGACACATTTGCCTCAAATCGAGAGATGATGAGGTGAACAACTACAACTGACATTTGTTCATACATGGGCAATGGTAACTACCACCCAAGTGTGGTCTGGCTGACAGACCATAAGATGCCCCCTGGTTTCAGAGATAGTAAAAGGAACAGAGGTTTCTCTAACAACATAAACCTAGATGAATATGTGTGATTAATTTTTAAAAAGTTCTAATGGTGAACTTTAGGAGGTAAAGAAAAAATTTGTTGCCTCAAAGCAAACATTTTTCTTCTTCACAACCATTCCCAAATGCTCTACTGTGACATTCAGATACTTCTGGCTGAGTATCTGTGTGCTGAAAGTCACCTGGCTGAAAACA